ATCATAATTTCTAGAATTCTCTATTATATTTACGCACTGGAGTATCAAAAACCTCTAAGCTCCCAGTTTAAATCCTGGCATGAATCTGGATTTCTTCCAGCTGTTTTCCATAAACATATAACATCAGAAGTTAATGGGTGAGCAACTCAAGACAAGGAAGATTAGGATATCTGACTGATGTATATATAAAGAAACAACAACATTAGAAGTGGTCTGCCCTTTCTTCAAAGTAACTCATATATAGTTACTAAGTGACTTTGTCTTCAAGGTCATTGTTAATGTATAACTCTATCTATTCAATACATTTTTTCTAAGGGCTCACAACTGCATTTTACATTTAGTTGACGTCTTTCCAATATAATAGCATATGCTGGAACTGCATAAACAATTTCTTTGCAATTTATGGTTTGTTGAAATTTCCTAGAAATGTTGCAGTGAAAATAACAGAATTCTTAAGAATAACTAATTTATTATCACTTAAACTTTATATAAAAAAAGCTTGTATAATAATAAACTGGTTAGTCCTTAAGATCTCAGAAAATTCTCTATTATGGCACTTCTATGCTTTTATTGGTTCTGGATTTATTTATTAGTTTACTTTATTTTTATTTTTTATTTATTTATATAAAATAAAAATGCTTTCCACGCAGTTATCACTTGAGATACAGAAACTCTCCATCTTATCTATATTTATTTACTATCCTTTTGGCAGAGTTAGGCAGAAAGCCTATCTTTAAAATACATGTTAGCTGTGTATCTTTATGCCTGGGTGAGGGACCGTTGTCCTTGTTTATTTAACCTACTCTTCCTAAAGGTTTTTGTCGTCCAATGGAAGGACACAAGAATCTTTTCATTAGATAAAAGAAACCTTTCGAATCAACTGTTGAATTTTAAAACTTTCTAATTTGAAGGCTGCCTCAAATGTTTGTTCCGAAGGCAAAACTTTGCTAACAGGGTTGCACTTATTGTTTATTTTTTGAGGGAGAAGGGCTGAGGTCTACAATAAATGGAACAATGTGAAAATTGGACCGATGTCCTGCCATGCACGTGGGCAGAGCCAGGGTTTTCTGCATTCCCTTTCCCAGTGTTTGTTTTGTGTTAAGTCTTGTCTTTTGCTATTGTTCTTAAATCTGCTCTAAAATATTTCTGCGTCTTCCTCCTCAGAACAGCAGGAAACCAGAACCTGGAGTGGAGGGAGGTCTAGTTGGGAGGGTATGCAGAAAAATCATAGTCTTCAGTCATAATTCGTGGAGCTTGATTTTACAGTGACAAATGAGTCACAAATATAAAATTCACAGAATAGACCAGTATTTCATGGACTTCAGCTCTCAGAATAGCTGGGGAATTCTGGGAGTTGAAGTCCACAAAACTTAAAGTTTCCAGGTATGAGAAGCATTGGAATAAACAATTCACGAGAGAAGATGCCCCATTTCATATCCCAAGTTTAGAGTTTTCTCACCCACTGCTAACGATATGCCCTTTATTATTTTAAAGTGGCTTTTATCTTTCAAATTAAGTCTTATCGCTTCCACAGAATAAGCCAAGGCTGGCAGTTCTACACCTAAAAGAATGCTTCTGCTGGATGGCCTTGCCCTGTTTATCCCTGAAATTCTCAGAAAGTCCCTTGTTGCAGTTTGTGTGGAATATGCATTTGAAATTAATATAAGGTCATTCTGTTTAGAAAAAATGCTTATAGGTTGCGCCATTGGCATCGCATAGATTTCCACTGAATGCTAGTAGTCACCTATCAGTGGCATAAATAGGCCCAAATTCCAAAATCAGAGCAAGGAAACAAGGCAGTTCCTAAATTGCTATAATCTTGGAATTCTTTCCTTGTTTCTGTACACTGGACATTCTGATAAGGAACTCTGGGAGATACTCATCTAAGACATTAGGAAGGTATCTGATTGAGGAAATCTACTGTTAGATAACTGCATATAATTTAACTGTGTGTAAGTGCAGGATAGTAACTTTATGCTTTAAAGTGCTCATTTGAAAACCGTTTCCATCTCATTTCACAAATCAGACTTATTGCATTCTCTTGTGTCTTCTAGATCACAGTGATGGTGAATCTAGTAAAAGGCAAATGGTATTTGGTGTTGTTACGGCAATTGACTTGCTGAATTTTGTGACTGCCCAGGAACAGAAGAGAAACACAACCTAAGTTCAAGAAACATGTCAACAGGGCTCGTTTCATTGGCTTTTCACATTAAAAAAAAGTCTCTCTCTTCTTCTTTTTTGCTTCTTTTGTTAGAACAGTCTAGAAAAAAAAACCCTTTTGGTCAAAATGAATACCATCAGAGTCATTATAAACAACTGTTAGAATTTAAAATGTTGTAATTTCTAGAATGTAGTGAGCACATTGAAATATAAGGACACTGGGAAGTTTTAAGATTAATCATTTCAGTAAAGAATTGCTTTGTTTGCACATACAAATTTTATATTGTGAAGGCACTGTTGAGCTGGAGGACTAAGGCCTGAATGATCAAGCCACCACAACAGGAAGGCTATGTGACAGCTTCCCAAAACCCATTGCTGGTCCTGCTTCCACATTATGGTGTGGTCTAGAAACTCTTCCATTTCTTACATTATGCTGTTTTGCAACCCAGAATGGTATTAGATATCTTAATCTTTAATCCTATTAAAGTTGACCAGTGTCAAACCTACTGGCTGACTTCTAGTGCACAGAAGAAAACACAACTATTTCCTAACCCAGTCTTCATAAAGGATTTGTCTTCATATATATCCAAGGGTTGGAATATATAATTACATGAGCAATAGGGAAAGTGGTCTGAAAACATCTTCTCTGCTCTATTACTGTTTTAACCTCCTTTTACAGATGCTTGTTTGTTTATCCAGATGTTTCTGCTGAATTCCATATTTCACCCATTTTCCCAACCCTCAACACAAAACATGACAAAACATCCATTATCCCTCCTACTTGCAGATTTCACTTTCTGAATGCTTAATAGCAGTTCCCTTCCTTATTCTGGTCAAATTATGGGTGCAAGGGAAAGTAAGAAATTGCTTTGCCAGTAAGTAAAAAATGAGGGGAAAAACTCTTTAACTAGTTCATGCAGTTTCCATTCGTTTGTGTACATTTTGTGTAATCAAAGAGAATTTTGTGTACTTGAAACACTATTAGCTCATAGCACCTCTGGCAGCATCAGAAAATACTCTATTTTCTCTACTGTTAAGTATTCTAGCATCTAATGTTCTATTTATATATTGTTGGCTAGCTTGACTGCTAACATATTTGTTCTACAAAGACCAAATCAGAATATTTAATATTAAATCAAAATATGATTCTATCTGCACATTGTTTTAACTGTCCAGCATCACGTTGGCCAAGTAATTGTTATCTCTGTTTTGTTCATGGGTATGATATGTTATTTAAAATGATACTTGTTTAGCTGGTCATAATAGTCTTAATGGGGAATAACTGCAAACAAACTTAGCTGTTTTCTGATTCTTTTGGTATTCTCCTTTGATGTAGGATTTTCTTTTCTTTTGTGGTTTACTTTAACTTCTACTGGAAGTTTTAAAGAAGTGTGCTATTTATACTGTACTTTTTCCAGTCACAACGGTACTTGTTTCATGCCAGAAAAATCTTGACACAATCAAGGACCAAGTTATCAAACAGAAGGTTCTTGCATGTGTATGGAATTCAGATTATGATATAAAACCACTAAAAGGCTACTGTAATATAATAAATGAGGAATTACTATTTGGTCTCAAAAATATTACTCTGCATTCAATGTTCCAGTAAGCATTTCTGGTTCTTTAGGACCATGAAAGAGTCTTCTGTCTGTTTTCAAAGTTTGGATTCTATGTCATGTTTATTCCAAATTTACTACAAAGAATTAAATAAATGTCTTGATAAGTTAATAAAGCTGGAATCTAACTAGTTTGTCTTAGAAATAATTCTGATGTGTTGGGGATGGGGGACATGTTTGTTTATATGTGTGTGTGTGTGTGTGTGTGTGTTTGTATAAAATTATGTATTTGTTATTAAATAATTTTAAAGGAAGATAGTAATATAAAATAAGACAAAATAAAAACAAAGCTAAAATTACAAAAAAGAAAAAAAAAGGAAAAAAATCTTTACAGCAGCTTGATTCTGTTTAGGACATAACTCTTCTTTCTATAATCTATCCTGCCTAATCATCAAAATTATAAATAAGTTCATTGTTCTAACAAAATTCATGAGGGATTTCCATTCAGTAATAAACATAGATATTGTAGATACTGTTTTTTCTCTGATCAAATAAGCCAATTTAGTCAGCAACTTTCATCATCATCACCAATTATTCCTCCATTGTGGATGGTGTCAGATCTTTCCATCTTTATATATACAATTATCTCACTGCAATTATCATCTACAAAAACAAAGTCCTATGACTTTTTCCAGGTTTTTGTCCATCAGCCGTAAAGATAAACCTTTGATCTTAATTGTCTATTAATCATCTGAATCTGTGTGTAATTGAATCCAAAATTTTTAGCTTCTTTACATGTCCACAAAACATAATAAAATTTTCTTGTTCACATTTCCAGCATAAATCTGAAATGCCTTTATACATTCTGGACCAGTTTTTGGTGATATATAGCAATAGTAAATCATTTTATTAAAAAAATCTTTGAAATTATAACATCACACCTTCCAGTTTGAAATGGGATCTTTATCTGCTTTAATCTTTCTGTCAAGATTTTGCAAGATTCTAATAGGAATTTCTCTAAGAACAATTACATCTATATTATCAATCTTGTATTAAAATGCTGCTGCAAAACTTTATCCCTTGTCTTCCTGACAAAGTAAACCAAGGCATCTCTTGGAACATTTAATATTCTGCCAAATCTTTTATTTATTTAGCATAATTTATCAGTTTTTCCCCTCTGTATTCTCCCCAACACAATCCAAAAGTTATAATGGAATATGCAGCTAGAGAAGCAGTATGTGGGGGAGACTTCTGTCTTACTCTCCAAAATTTCTACTTGGTCATTAGTTTTATAGCTCCTTGTTTTACAGGACTTTCCATCTTCTATCTCTTTCAACTTTACAAGTCTTTTATCCATTGTTTTTGCAAAAGCAGACAATTTAGCACAAAGTGATTCAGCTATCTTGCTGCCCAGTTGCTTAAACATTTGCTTCCCTCTTTTTTTCTCTTTTGTCTTCCTGTGCCCTTAATAATTCATCCCAAAAGGCATTCATCCCAAAAGGCATTACTGGTAGTATCTCTACAGTCAACATCACATTCTGCCTCATGTTACCTTTATCTTTCATTTTGTAGAATCCAATTGTCTGCACTCTTTAGAGAAAATATTTCCCTAAAGGTCCAGTTAGTTTGCCTGTTTCAATTCCAATGTGTTCAAAAGCACATGTTTGTTCTGTTCTAAGGCACAACATTGCTGAAATTACATAAATCACAGGAGTTTCCTTAAGGACCAGATAGTATCTGATAGATTTCTTTTTCTGGGAGCAGAGAGGCCCATCTTTTGAGAGGAGAATTTGACTTCAGAAAGGGCAAAAAGGAGTCATGTCTAGAGAGGCTGCCAAATTCAAAGCCCTCTTCTTCATGGAATGGGAAAGGGAATAAGAATTTGTCTCCAGTGCATAAACTCTCAGTATAAATATGAAAACAAAGTAACATGATACCAATAGGAGAAGGTAATAGAAACGTTGAGAACAATAATAGTAATACAGCCATATTACATGCATAAATATCCTTACATAAGATAAGTGCTATGGTAATTAGGTATTATGAATATAAATATTGTGATTCAGAATGCTAGGACTTATATCAGTTCATTGGCTGGCAAGGCTTAGTTTCCCAGTAGGATTGGTATGACAACAAATTGCAGGGAAGGGAAGGGAGGAATTATGGTCTATCACTTCTGATAATGGAAGAAATGGCAGTTCTTCCTTGAATTCCCTTCCTCCTGCATCTGATAGCTCTGGAAGATCTTGAAGGTGCCAATAGGTGACTTTGTAGCCTAGTGCAAGTATGCAAAACACTGGAGCTAAGCTGAGCTCAGCATGTTCCGTTCAGAATTTGAATGATAGATAAATAAAGGACTTCAATCCAGTGCATTACTTTCATAATAAGTAATAAATACCCCTCAAAGTCATAAAAATGTAGCACAGCATAACATTACAATAAAGATAATAAGTAGTTCTGACTTTACTTTTCAGTAACTGGGTTAGCTAGAAAATCAAGAGCTGAAAAACAATGCAACTTTTTGTCACACCATCAGAAAACTTATAACTAGCCTTAAAACCGAGCAGTTGTGCAGCAAGCATTAAAACACACAGAATCCTATATTACTATTCCACGTTGGAAATTTGTGAAGAAAATCATTGTGCCAATTTGGGGAAACAAAAGTCAAAATGACACTTGCACTGTGGCTAGAGCTGTTTGCAGATCTTTGGTGAGAGATTGAACAGAACTCTGTATCACAATCCAGCTTTCATTCCTTGGCGAATTTCCCTTCATTTGAAGTAATTAAGATTATTCAACATCATCAATATTGAAGTAAGTTTCAGATGCATTCAGTGCCATCTTGGCCTTTGCCCAGGTAGCAAAATATCTTGGATTAGCCATGCAGACCATTATTCTTAAACCGCTTGGGAAGAGAAAAGCTACAAAGAACTCATGAGGAACTATCCAGTTGGAACATCATCATGTAATTGCCATTATAGACACGGTTTCTATTCAGGAAAACTTAAAAAATTATCTTGTACAAAAATAGTTTAATATACTGTAGGTTATCATTTATCTGGAAAACTAACTTTTGCCTTCTGGGTCACTTGGAAATGTGCACATTATAGAAGCTTTGAAATTTAGAATGTGCCTTGATGCCTTGAACAACTGGATGGAACAATTAAAAACGCAGTCGGTAAAACCTCTCTGTGCCTGACCACATAGAATAAGTATTTCACCTTTGAGACTGTTCCCTGTAATCCTGCTATCTAGATTACTCCCTGCAATTTTCTTGGTGAGATTTTTCGGAAGGGGTTTGCCATTGCCTCCTTCCTAAGGCTGAGAAGGAGTGACTGGCTCAGAGTCACCTGGTTGACTAGAACACGTGGTATCCTGGTTTCAAGCCTGATGCCTGAACCACTGCATCAAACTGAGTCTTATGACTAGCTCAAGGCCCTGAAATTAGGATTATGTCTCTAAATCAGTAACTACTCAAGACATCTCAAGGAATGGCTAAAATTCAGGCCAGTATCCTGGGGGCAATGGCAGAATGTGTGGCAAGAGGTGCCTTTTTATTTTTTTTCATCTCTCTCTCTTCCTCCCTTGCCACCAGATCAGTGCTGTTTCATTGCATATCATAAAATTGGATACCTACCCAAAAGGTAATAGTTCTATAATATAATAGCAGTATTTGCACAACTGTAAAGTCCTTGACTTGGCATGAATTGTTCATGAGGCTGGGTTAGATGTTTTACTAAAAATTAAACTAAAAATGCCCTTTTATATCTATTTGCTTTTCTTGGCAGCCAATGAAAGAACCAAACTGACAGAATGAAGCAAAGCTAGTTTTAATATACAGTAATTGTCGCCTGTCTGGGTTTTATGGAAGGTCTTTATAATTTTTATGTTCATTATGGTTTCATTGAATTTTATGAGTATGAACCTGGTACAGTTGTTTTCAGTTTTGCAATATATGGGAGAAAGGAAAGATGGTGGGAAGGGATTAAAGGTCTTACACGGAGTTATAATTGGGATTGTCATAATTTCCCTTACTTTCTGTAAGTCCTATGTCCCAAGACTTAGGAACACAGTCTTTGTAGTATGAAATTGTGCCCAACTATGCTGCAGTTCCACCGGCTGCAGGATCTGGAATTAATAAGAAATACTGTATTGGTTGTTAGATAGAAATGAAGTCATGAAGATGTAAACATGTTTTCCTATTACCAATATCTGAAGTAAGCTCAGTGTAATGATGCATTGCTCACCTGCTCTTTTGTGACAGACAGCCCTCAGGCATTTGGCTACTTTGGTCAGCTCTGATTTTGAAAGCAGACATGCCCTTTTGCCAGGAAAAGACATGATGATGGCATGTTTTGAATACATTTGTACGTTATTTGCAGTCACAAAAACATCACAGAGCAGAGAAGATATTGAGATGAAACTTTTCCTACAGATGTTCTCCCTTGTAGGGTTATTTACATGTCCCAGGTTTGATAAGTTTGTTTATATCCCGCCATTATTATTTTTATAAACAACTCAAGGCAGCGAACCTATCCAATAAATCTCCATCTTCCTATTTTCCCCACAGCAACAATCCTATGAGGTGAGTTGGGCTGAGAGAGAATGATGGACCCAAGGTCACCCAGCTGGCTTTCATGGCTAAGGTGGGACTAGAACTCAGCTCCACCTTTCTAGCTTGATGTTTAAATCAAACTGGAGGTAATAATAATAGTAATAGTAAAGTTGGAAGGGGCCTTGGAGGTCATCTAGTCCAACCCCCTGCTCAGGCAGGAAACCCTATACCATTTCGGACAAATGGCTGTCCAGTCTCTTCTTAAAAACTTCCAGTGTTGGAGCATTCACAGCTTCTGGAGGCAGGTTGTTCCACTGGTTAATTGTTCTGTCAGGAAGTTTCTCCTTAGTTCTAGGTTGCTTCTCTCCTTGATTAGTTTCCATCCATTGCTTCTTGTCCTGCCTTCAGGCGCTTTGGAGAATAGCTTGACTCCCTCTTCTTTGTGGCAACCTCTGAGATATTGGAACACTGCTATCATGTCCCCCCTCGTCCTTCTCTGGAGAAACATTAACTGTTTAACTTTTATGGCATCTGAAAACAAAAATTACAGCATAAAAACTGAAAAATAATTGAAATCTATTCCATGTGTCTGAAATAACTAGTTTTTCAATCTTAATATTTTTCCAACAAATCTTT